CAATCAAAGGCACTATATATGTATATTCTAAGGTTGCACAATTTTGGAGATTAAGACCATCAGCAGGTCCCCAATGCCTGATACCTGTCAATAAACAAGTAATAAACAATAAATAAATCCACCTTCCTTAATTTGTAATTTGCAAATTGTGGCAGCATGCGGGGGGGGGGGTCTTTCCCATTCCCTGTTACCTGGTTCTTGACTTTTCTTCAACTGGAGAGGCCAGGGATTGAACTATAAGACCTTCGGCATGCAAAAGGATGCCCCAGACCACTGAATTCTAGTCCCCTGGGGGAAGCACTGAAAGTGCAGCAGTAAATGTGTTTGCCAAATAAGACCACCTGCAGCTGTTCAATTTCCCTGCTTCTTCCTAATCAGTGGGAAAGCCATTTGCAATGGAAAAGTTCAGTACTGCAGCAGCCGAGCAACAGGATCCGCCACAAACAAATAGGTACAAAGCCAACATTGCTCTCTGTGAATCATTTATAGCAGCACAGAGTAAATGGAGCTGCAGCACACCAGTGCGTACCTGTATGCTACAAAGAGCCAAAGACTATAGTATCATCACAAGGAAATAGACATTAAAACAGCTGAGCAAGATGGAGCAATGGTCTGACATGGCATAAGGCAACAAACTATGTTCCTAAGGAACTAGAAAATCTAGTGGCAGGAACAGACACCTCTTGTCTCTGCACTGCCATGGTGGCTTGCCAACTCTTTGTCCAAATGGCAGTACTAGTGGCGATCAAGTGACCCTCATCAGCCAATGGAGTCCCACCTGTAACTATAAATCGTCTGATTCTGGCCCAGTTTCTCAGTCCGTGCAATTCGCTACTCTGAGCAAGTTGAGCTTCTAGAATCTTTGGCCCTGCTTGCCAGCTGAGGGTCACTCCAGAGGGTCACTCCAGAGCCCGAACCCAGACCATCACCATAAGCTGGCTGGTCCAACTAAAACTCCCACATTGCTTCCAAAAACATTCAAGGGTTTTGCTCGGCCTTTGCGGAAAGCAAGTTCCAGGAAAGAGCCACAACTTGCAAGGATAACTATCCATGTCTGTTTACTGATCTGTTAATAATATTATTATTAAATATTGCTCAGCGCTTGTTATCAGGCAGCTACAACAGGCTACATCTCACCAGCATTCCAAAAATGATTGCCACCAGCAATGTTTTTGCCTGATTGTTTTCGCCTGGCTGAAATGTGTCCTCGAGCTCTTGCCTTCCTGGATTAGGGATTGAGAAATAAAATACGTCTTCATGCAACAAACACTGGAATTCGCTCCCAAGAGGCAATGATGGCCACCAACCTGGAAGGCTTTAGAAGAGAATTAGACAAACTCATGGAGAGACAGCTATCAATGGCTACTAACGATGACGGCCCGCGCTCTGTTGGAGGCAGCAATGTTTATGAATACCAGGAAACCACAAGTGGGGAGAGTGTTCTTGTGCTCATGTCCTACTTGCTGGTTTTCCGCAGAAACCTGGTTGGCCTCGATGAGAACAGAATATTGGACTAGATAGATGGGCCACTGGCTGTTTTATGTCATTAGAGAGGGATGTGTGAATATGTGCAGAAACTGAGCTACAGTATAAACGTAAATTGTGCATCTGTTGTTGCACCCTCTTTTTCTTCTGGCCCCACCCATCACCAGCATATGGCCCCCAAAATGTGTTCTTGGTCTGGAAAGGGTTCCTTAGCCCTGTCTTATGCAGCTAATAGCTACAGGAACCCTACCAAAAAACAGAGAATTCTCTGCATTTAAATTTCTCTAAGAAGATAAAAAGGAGGCTATTGATCAAGCAGGTCGCCCTAACTCACAGCCTCCTGACCCAGCTTTTTTCAAACAAGAGTTGCAGATTCAAGACAAAATAAGGGATCTGGCACTCCTTTGTAATCAAATATGTTGTTTCAGATAAGGGTCAGCAGTGTAAACCAGGTTGAATTACTCATTTGGCTCTTATCTGCATGGATGCAACAACAGGCTTGAGAGACAACAGCATCTTCATTGTTCCAATGACCTTGTCCTTGTCATCAATCTGCAAAGCTGCGGGTTGCTGTGGGGGGGGGGGGGAGTGTATGTGTTAATCTCTTTCAGGTAGCGGCTAAATCAAGACACAGCTCCTGCTTATGGGGGGGCATGCTGATTTCCAAGGTTACTGCCACTACAAAGGACAAATGTGAACAGTGCTTAGAGGGGGGGTAGGGGGCCCTTCACTAAAATCCACAAACCTAGACTCCATGCCCCACCTCTCCCCATAGTCTAGCCCAACAGCCTGGAAGGTCATAAATAATAAACAAACAAATAACCAACAGTAGATTGGGAAAAGTTTCTAACTCCCAACTGTTTATAACACCAGCAACAAGAATGGCCTCCAGTGACCTGAACTTTTCCCACCCACAACCTCGGGGTCCTCATCCTCTGATCCTGCAATTCCCCCCCCCCCCCGGCGCCACAGGGCCTATGACACTTGGCTCAAGAGTGGTGAGAGTGGCCACCTTTTCCTCCCTTCTGTGCAGAAACTAGGTAAAAAAATCAACATTCCTTCATCCGACCACTTTTGCCTCTGGCCCCACCCACCACTGGCATGCGGCCCCCAGAAAGCTGCCCAGAAGGGAAGGTGGCCCTTGGAATGAAAGGGGTTCCCTAACCTTTGTATAGGAGTTTCCTAAGGACTGGCACCACAGCAGACCCTCAAGCCATGCCTTCCAGCCACCACCACCGCCCAGTTCCTCCCAGCATCTTCTCCTCTGCCCTAGGAAAGCACACACAGACTCAGAAAGCCGTGAGATGTGGCCGTCAAGGTCAAGACTGGCAGGAAGTGCTAAGTTTGTGTGCAAGGAACAGCCCCATGATTTACCAGGTGATGAAAGAAAAGAAAAAAAAGAAAAGAAAAGAAAAGAAAAGTCTGAGCTAGAAGAGGAAAACGTTCTCCGATTCAACCACATTTTCCCTCCTCGCCCAACAAGCTCACTTCTTGGTGTTGTTGTTTTAGCCCAACTGTGAGCTCAAAAACGAACACAAATTACTATGTTTGCCAAGGGTAAGGCTGGGAGCGGGCAAAATAATGGTGCCAAGTCAATATCAAAAAATGTTTAGAAACATTGGCTAGAGTCGTGGCTGGGGTCAGAACTATGTCACACATTCAGAGAAGAGAAGGAGATGCGGCCCAAGGTGGCGTTGAGCATAGAATTCAGACTTTATAAGAACAAAAACAAGTAAAAATATATGTTTCTAGACCTAGTGATGGAGAAGACATGTTTGAAAGGGCAATGAAACCTCTCAAGCAACAATGGGGGGGGTGTCTTCTCAACTTGTGTGCTTTACGTAAATCACAGGATCCAGCTTCTCCTCTTTATGAATTTCTGATATGCTAGTGCAAAATTGTGATAGATGTGCTATTTAAAAATACAACACACCTGCAGACCTGAGTTTAATCTGCAGCAACCATCTTTGCCAATCCAAAGGCTATTGCCAGAAGGTTGGGGTGAGCCTCTTCTTCAGCCACCTCCTAGCAGGCACAGTCATTTCGGACTGGTTCTCCCCTGTTCAGAAGGAAGCTAAAGGGTGAACTGCGCTGGCTGAGGAAGGGTTAATTTGAAGACATTAAGTTAATCTGCAGATTGGATTTTCTTGGAGAAAACAAAATGGTGTTGATCCAGGTAAAGCAAATCACAACCAGTGGAACAAGTTTGGTTGCAACCAGTTTAAGCTCGCTGTTTTCAATGGGTGCTCAGGGTTGACCATAAAAAACACTCTCTGTTTTCCCCACTTCTCTGACCGCAGGTAGTAAAGGGGCATTTCAGCTATTTTTGCAGCGGTCGGGAAAGGAAGGGTTGAAAACAGGAGGAGACGCTAGCAGCATCAGTGGCGGGTGCATTCTTCTAGGGAGCTGGTGCCTACTGTTTTTATTTCTCATAAATCCAGTGGGAATTACTATATATCAGGGGAGAGCGGTGGGTAGAGCCAGAAGCAAAAGTGGGTGCAGCTACAAAAGAAAAGTTTACATTTGTACAGTAGGCTAGTTCCTACACGCACACACCTCTCTCAATCCTCTAGGCAGAAAAGCACGAATTCAGACATTATTAGCATTCAAGGGCTACTTTCCAGCCAGGATGCGATGCATATAGGATGCGAGGCAGGATCAGTAAAGGATAAGCCCTAGGAAGCGTTTCAGGAGCCAGATGGAGAGGCCAGCAGGGCTCCAGAGCCTGAGGTTCTCCACCCCCCATCTATAAGATGATGCAATGTCATTTCCACATGACTTCTGGAAAATAAAAATGGTGGCCAGCTGCAGGACAACTTTCACACGCGGTCACATGTTGAGCACTGTCATCTCAGCCTTTGTGAAAAGCCAGTTAAGCTGGATTGAAGTGAAGATGCTTGAACATGACATGCCTCTTTTCTTCCCAAAAAAGTCACTGGGTCCCACTTCACAAGCTCAGCTGGCACCACAAGTTGGCATGCCTGGGTATGTACTGAGGGGCCCACACTCAAGAAGTAGGCCCACTGACAGCTGCCCCCTGGACCTACTGTAGATATACACACTTAGGAAGGGGGCAGCATGGAGGGTGTCATGACCAAGGAATGGGCCGTGACTCTGTGGAAGAGCTCCTGCTTTGCATGTCGAAGGTCCCAAGTTCAATCCCCAGCATCTCCAGATATTATTATTATTACTTATTCAACTTATATTCCACCCTTTATCCAAAGATCCCAGGATAGTGTACAACATTAAGAACATAATTTACACAGCACAATAATAAAAACAGTAGAGCTGGGAAAGATTCCTGTCCGATAGACGGTAGAGTGGCTGCCAGTCAGTTACATGAGTTACTGAGTTACATTGAGCAATGGTTTGACTCGGTATAAAGGCAACCTCCTAAGAGCCCTCTGTAACCTGGGGCCAGAACTGTCAGACACACCCAGGCTCCAAACCCCTCGCCACCATACAATTCACCTTGTTGATTAAACAGAGGAGAAGAGAGAGCGCCACACACTCACCACATGCTGTTGACTTATGGCTACCGGGTAGGACATGGCATGAGGAGGATAACGGGGTTCACTCCCTCGCCACGTCTGCGCCACAGGTTGGGTAGATCCAGACATTGTGGAAGAAGTCCAGAGGGCTCTCACTTTTTCTTGTGTTGATATATATATAGAGAGAGAGAGATTCCCAGAATCTGTGATGCGAAGCACTAAAGAATCCTAGATTTCCTCCTCATTACGCACATGTTGGACGACTCATGCTGCGACTGAAAGGTAAACAAGAGGAGAAGAGAGAGAGAGAGAGCGTTAGAGCACAGTTAAAACCACTTTGGGAAGAGGCCACAGCTTTGTGGCCATGTGTATGTTTTGCATGCATAAGGTCCAGGTTTCAATTCCCAGAATCCGCAGGCAGAGTTCAGAAAGACTCCTGCCTGAAACGGTAAAAGCTGTGGCCAAGCAACACAAACACTGATCTAAAGGGTATAGTTTCCTAGTTTCAACTGACCCAAGCAAACCTGAGAAGAATTCAAGCCAAAGAAAAGGCTGTATCCAGCTACGTTCTATCAGAGCAGAGCCATTATGAACATGAAACCTTAGTTCCCTCCACTTCAACGGGTCTACTCCAAGAAGAACTGAATAGGAGACACCCTCAACTTCTAGCTCTTCTTATCACTGGATAGTCACTCCACCGCTTGCCAACCTGTTATCTTACCCAGGTATATATTATTTAACTTTACTACAATGTTAAACCAACGGGCAATGAATTCTTTACTTGTAGAACACTCTTGCCAGATAAGCCCGCCCTGAAGAAAGGCTTGAAGGCAGCAAGCTCTCTCTCCCCAGCTACTGCCCCCCCGCCAGCCAACAGGAAGTTCAGCTGCCATCTTGATTAGAAGCCAATGGCAGACTGATCCGCCACCAGAAATTTGTATGATCCTCTTTAAACCCAGACACCGCAGGATTGCACTGTCAGTCATCTCTCTTTTTTATTTTAAAAAGTTAAGAGAAAATAACTAATTCTTTTATCCCTTCCACATAGGGCAGGGGTCTGCAACCTTTAAGACAAAAAGAGCCACTTGGACCTGTTTCCAAAGAAAAAACAACAACTGGGAGCTGCAAAACCATTGTGACATTTAAAACAAATATATCTCCGGAGCCGCGATCTGACAGTGGGCGGGAAGGTGACGTCGGGACGGTGCGTGACTAACGCACGCACCGCCCCCATGCGACGTCACAGCCAGTACAGCGCCCGCCACAGTGAGGAGTGTCGGGGCGCACAATGCGTCTCCTCCCCTCGCTAGTATCCGCCCCGGAGCTGCAGCAAAGATGTAAAAGAGCCACATGCGGCTCCGGAGCCGCGGGTTGCAGACCCCTGACATAGGGGATGCCTTCCCAGTCCCTGATTTTGGTTGCCCTCTTGCAGTCCATTGTTACTGAACAGATAAAGATGCAGGAATGTGAAATGTCCAAACTCTGCTTTTGCTTCCCTGCACCAAAGTGGAGACCACCCTGATATATGCACAAATAAAGCAGAGTTTTACAACCTGCTGGCTTTTTATGGACACTTACAACCTATTTTGCTTGAAGATGGTCGCGCGCTTCGCTTTGTCAGGTTTTCTATTAAAAGTAACGAATGTCTCCATGCGCGCCCTTGACTGCCAGCTGTTTAAAGAGGCATTAAGCTTGGTTCCTGGCATTAACTCTTAATTATACAAAGCATAAATTGCCCACCGCTGCCTGCAGAGCAGATGGGAAAGCTGCTACCACTCAGCTGCTGCCCATCTTCTCGGAAGCACACAACTGCAGCCCACTTTTCAAGCAAACAGCCTAGTTCAAGAGCACAATTTTATTTAAGGTTTTTTGCTTTCCTTTTTGCAAACCTTGCAGCAGAACCAAGGGGCAGACCTCCCCACCACAAGCAAGGCTGCTTCCTTTTTACTTTCTCCTGATCTCTGTTGAAGCTGAGAAAAACAAGCCAAACAGACATCGATTTCAACTGAAAGTGGAACGTGTGCACATACAGAAGCATTGAGAAAGAGGAAGAAGAAGGTCTCTTCCCCCACCCAACCCCTCCTCAGCCTACAAAATCAGTCTGCGCTGATAAAGCATCCCCACTTGACCACAAAAACGGACACCAGAGGGGCTGCAGTTCCATGCCTGCTTACATGCATGTCGGTTGAGGGATAAAACAACTGCCAAATCAAGATGCTACACACATTGGCTACCTCAAGGCTGGGTGACTGCAACATGCCCTATGTGGGGCTGCTCCTGACGCTGGTCTCGGGGGCGCAGACAGTGCAGAATGTGGTGGCTAAGTAGCTTGTGGAGACCCAACACAGGACACCTTGCACTAGCTGCCAGTCCGCCACTCAAGCATTGGTACTAACAAAAAAGGCCCTATACACCTCAGGACCAGGTTACCTGAGAGACCGCAACATCCCTCATATACCCTATAAGTCACTGTAGTCTGGGCAAGAGATTTTCTTTCAAGTTGCAAAGGTATCAGAAGCCCTCTTAACAGTAATTCAGAGCACAGCTTTTAGTGTGGACACTGCCCGTTCTGTGGCACACCATTCCTGCCCAGAAAGGACAGGCACCCACTATTTGCTCCTTCCAGAAACAACCAAGGTTTTTTTGTTTCAACAAGCCTTTCAAGAGGGATGAACAGGTTTCTGCCACAAATGTCCACTTCGCATTGCTTTTAAATTAATCTGGTGTTCTTTCTGTGTTGTCTTCTAACTATTTTAAGGTGTTTTCAATGCATTTTGCAAATTACCTAGATATATGTATGTGGAAAGTGTTTCTTCTTCTTCTTCTTCTTCATTATTATTATTATTATTATTATTACTACTACTACTACTACTACTACTACTACTACTACTAACCAGGCAAAGTCTTGCCCATATGAACCCAATCCTGGAGGCAGAACTGCCATTACCAAACTGTCTAGAGTAAGTTTCCATCCCAGAGACATGAATCCACTGAAGTGTAAAGCCTGGAAAAAACTCGCCTGCATGTCGGGGATATGGGGATGGTGCTTTGTGGTGGCAAGGGAGAAACCTGCCCTTAACTTGGCATTACTGAAACTCTTGGCCTTAAAGTGGAGGCTGGGACTGTGAGATACAGAGGATGATTTGCTTTCAAGCTTCAGAACAGAAAGTTATCATGGTGGTGCAGAACAAGGGCCTCTGCAACGGGCAGGCAGTAAGAAGCTTCTGCACTGGCCAGGATGGATATAAACGAAGCAGCCTGGTTTTCTATACCTTCGACTGCTCAAGAATTACAAGATTCCTCACAAGTCCAAATTCCATATTCAGAATCTCCACAGGCTAGTAGCTGGACATTACTTCCATGCTGGTGGTGGGATGGCATCCTTCACTGACCAGAGGGCATCAGGCTAGCTTAGGTGGTACACAGCAGGGCAGGTTGGGACTCGAGGGGAAGCGTGGTAGGCTGCCATCCTGGGCCGTAGCCCTACTCAGAGTAGACCCCACTGAAATTAATGGACATGGCTAACTGAGGCCCAGTAATTTAGTGTGTCTACTTTGAGTAGGACTAGTATTGGCTACAGCCCCCTGCCCATGCCACTTGAGACAGCTGCCTCATTCTGCCCAAGGGTAGGACGGTTCTGCCTCCAGAGTTACCTGGACTCCAAACAAATTTAGAAGTACAGGTCCAACTATTTCTTTTTCTCATAAAGCACCATGCAAACAGAGAAAGGGAATGGGAGGGACCAGCAAAAGAAGGCCCCTTAATCCTTCATAAAATCACACTGCATGAGAAAGTAAGTAATGGCAGACAAGCTGGATTTAGGGAAGGATGTCCGTCATCACAACTATTTCCCTGGAACACAACTGGTATGGCTGAACTGAGCTTTCTTTAGATGGAGGTCAAGGCCAGCTTAAAAAACAAAACACACAAACATAACTGCAATGTAAACCAGTGTCCACATATGAGAAACTCAGGAGAGAAAATAAACTGTAAGCACATGATGGGTTTACCATACAGGGAAGATAAATATCCACGCTTACCAACTGATCTGCATTCTTCACATATATTTAAACAACAACACAATAGTCACCTTCATTTCACCAACAGCTCGTAATAATCCTCCATTTGCAGGTCCCTTGTGCTTGCATAAACGATGCTTTTCTAATTTCCCTTCAATTTTAAGCACCTGGGGGGGGTATTCTCTCACTGAAATGTGATGCTCATTTGATTCCCCCCACATCACCTTCCTAACACACAGAAATTGTATTTCTGGCAGAAACTATCTCTGATGTTTTTGGAATGTCACGGAAGCCGCCTGCTAGAAATTCCTTTGTTGAACATAATTGCTTGGATCACAAAACAATATTTTTAATGATTGAACATCCTGAATAAAAGCTGCAAAATACATGCCTTGATTGCTTTGAACTCTGCTGCATCGCTACACAGCTTTTGTTGTGTTCCTCCATTTCGAAGAACATCAACCAAACCAAAGAAAAAGCCCCTACATGTTTTAAATTCAGGATGTTCTTCCTCCCAAAATCACCACCCCTTTTCCATTTTGTTTTGCACCTCCTGGTATGGTTTGGGAAAGCAAATGCTAATTTCCATAATGGGTCCAGGGCACTAGTCGTGCAAACACTTCCATAAAATTTAGGAGCCCAAAAACTTTTTGAAATAGCCCGCCGCCGTAACCCGGCATGCTCAGCATCATACACTGAGAATCAAGGGAAGGAGGCAGGTGGTGTGTACAATTTTTCTGAAGCTTCCCTAGCTAATTGCCTAGAGTAGTTTTAAAAATTATCCCTGACAACTTGTCCTGCTAGCTAGGGCTGATGGGAGTTGTAGTCCAACAACAGCTGAAGACCCAAGTTTGAGAAACATTGACCTAGAGACAAATCCTAAATGCTGCAGATGAACAGGTAAGTGACTGTTTGTTTGCTTTTTTGAGTATCGCCCAGGAATACAATATGGCAAAGTTTCCTTTACATTTTTTTTAATCCAACGCTTTCTTGGAAGATGGAGCAAACTTGTTTTCTCCTGCTCTGGAGGTAGGACCCCAGCCAATGGGTTCGCGTTACAAGAAAGGAGATTCTAACTAAACACCCAGAAAAACTTTCTGACCGTAAGAGCTGTTTGACAGTGGAACAGACTCTCATGAGAGGTGGTGGACTCTCCTTCCTTGGAGGTTTGTAAGCAGAGGCTGGATGACCACTTGTCATGTATGATCTAGTTAAGATTCCTGCACTGCAGGAGGTTGGACTAGATGACCCTCATG